CAGGAACTGCTTAAGTGTGTTAAAAGAACAAATTGAAATTTGTCTATTACCGTTTTAAGCAGAGACAGTGCTGAGTTTTCAAATATTGCTGGATTTTCCCTTGAAATTATTTCCTTAGTCCAAGCTGACAGAATGGTACAAGCCTTATTCTGCAGCCATGTTATTTTACTTGCTCTTGCAGCAAGCCCAGAATCTTCAGAGTAGTTTTTCTATCCGTGATAAGCTGTTGTAAATTTTAGTTTTAATTATGTATGTGTATTTAGATTATCTACATGTGTATAGTTTATATGGACTGTTTCTGTAGGGAAGGTTATGTAGTCATTGGTTTTTAATTCCCGGTGTCACTTTATTTGTCTGAATTAAATTTCGTGAAAAGGGTGTTGTATATCCTGTATTAATTTATTACTTGTAGATTTCTTTATTCTCAAGTCAGGTAATCAGATTTGATAGACTATATATAAGCACCTTCAAACAACCCCCTCCCCCTTCCACTCTTACAAGAGTTTTACAGTATTTCCATGTGCAATGCTTGTCTCTTTTTATTAGTATTTTCATGATGTAGGCATTTACTTTGATAAGTGTTAGATACTGTACCTAATTTATATAACAAGAATATAGATAGCAGCAAACTAGTATCTAAACCTAGGAGCTCCCTGGTTTATCTGGGATTGACTCCTATTACTGCCACTGGATTAGGTGACCTTGTTTAATCTAGAAAGGGCCCTTTTTCCTCGTCTGTTTCAATGATTTGGGAATGTCTAGGGATGATTACATTGTGATCTGGATTTTTTCCACCCCCCCCTGCAATTGTAGGACTGACCAGACTTACTTCCTCTCTTACAATTGCAAAATACTCTTCCATCTTCATGTTTAAGCTCATTGTTAATTTTTTTTTATGTATGCTGAGGTCTTCTGGGACCTTTGAATAAATGATCTGCTTTAAAAAATTGAAGTAAATGAGTTTTTCTACTGTAAGTCATGTTTACTTTACTGAATTTTGACACCTGAAGTATTTTGAAACTAGAAAATCCCAGTGGGCATATGATTCCTTTTAAATATAAAAGCTGGTTATATTTAGGCAAACTAGACTAAAAAAAATTAAAAGAACCTGTGTAGAATAGCAACAGTGTATAAAAAAAAAGCAGGGTTGTTTTCTTTTCAATACTTTATACTGTTGCCAACATCAGGCATTAAAAAACAGGAATTTTTTTTGGCTTTTCAGTATTTTATTTTTAAACACAGCTTTCTAGATAGTTTTTAAAAATTTTTGTGTGTGTGTTTATTTAAATTGTGGGCATCTTTCCAAAAATGTGTGCAAAGTCCTTTTTTTTTTTTCAATAGGAGGTCCATACATGTCGTATGACTCAAAGAGGTGGTACTTTAAGAGAAGCATCAAATTTAGACCAAGAGCACAACCGAGGTCTGGCAGCCACGTGCTTACAAATGGTAGCATTCAGCCCTGAGCTGCTGAGATACATCTCATTCTGTGGCTTATGCAATGAATATGCATTTTTAATTTGTGAAACAGTTCATCTGAATATAGGAGGTATACCTATGACCTTTTTGAAAGTTAACATTTTTTTTAGAAGTGATCAAAAGTGTTCAGTATAGCATCACTTCAGTCTTTATAGTTGCTACCGAAAAGATAAAAAATCTGGTTTCAACAGCCTGGCAGTACTAAAACCAGTGAGAAACTTGCATTTATTACAGTGGCCTTTGGCTCTGGCTTGCAGAACCACCTGAGATATTATTTAGAAGTTTTGCAGGAGGTTTGAGGTTGGGCTGAAGCAGTCCTTGCTGTTAAGTTCGGATTGCCTCTCTTACCGCATGTCAGCATCTCTGTTCAGTAATACCTTACAGGCCTGCAGAGGTTTGAGCTACCACCCTTCAGGTGTTGGAAGGATGGATGTGACAAGTTAATTTAAATCAGGCCAATGTGTAGCTGCCACTGTAACAGTCAATTTCGTTACCAGTTTACAGTAACTTGTCAAATTGTTTGGTCCCTATTGTTACTTTATTTTAAAAGCACTTGCTTTTAAATCCCATTGGCTGGTAAAGTCATATGGCAGCCACAGTTGTCACTGTTTGCTCACACGGCACTGAATGAGAACAACACACTTTGTGTAACTGAGAGACAAATATAATGCCATGTTCTGGTTGGAGGGGCATGTGTGTGAAAGAGTCACATACTGGCTATCTTCATATATAAAAATGTGAATGCCCATCTGAAAATTTTTGATTCTGTGGTACTGGGCACCACAGAAGGAACAAGAGAAAATGAGACTCTGTCTGTAAGGGTAAACCTTGACAGGTGCTAGCACCTTCTGCTACCATTACCTTCTATTTAGAAAGAGGCCATAGCTGAGTCAGATGATATGGAATTACACAATTTAAATTTTGGACATAATCTAGGTCATTGTCTTCTGTTCTTCCCAACTAAATATTCTGCCTGATTTTCATTTGTCTCCCTGATTGGATTTGTTTTTATTCCTCACTACATAGTGCTCAGTTTTAAGAGGAGTCTGAGGAGCGGGAGCGTGGTGTCCTCCAGCATGCTGCCTGGCATAGCCCTCGGTTTCTGCTGCTGTGGAGGAGGGTGAGATGCTGATTTTCTTCTGACTGAAAGCTATAAGCACTGGACTGTGGAGCCAAAGCAGGGCAGCCCTACAAACATAGCCATGGAATTGGATAAAGCCAGTCAGCACTTGTCTAATTTTCTCCACTTCCCCAGAAGAGTTGCATTAGACTGGGTGTGTTGCTGTCGAAGCTATCAGTCGTGCACTAGGGACATGGACACCCATTTCCCTAGAAGGGGCAATTCAGGGCTCCAGGAGCAAGTAAAGCCCACAGACACGTTTGAGCTGGGTGTGGAAACTGTAATGCCTGTAAGCACCTGCAGGGTTAGTCAGTCCTGGAGTGCTGGCAGGTGGGATTTTCCTCTGCAAGTTCTGTGCATAAAACCTAAGTCTCATTATAGGCAGATTCAGTCTCGCCCTGTGCCAATACTGTAATAGTTAATCCATCAGAAAACATGAACTTTGATTTTATTTTCACTGGGGATTTGATTATCAAAGCTTTGAGGAGCAAGTTATAAGGATAGAATAGTTTATAGTTGATTATATGTGAAATTTAAGCAGATTTGATGGGTCAAGGATAAAAAAAAGCTTACTCTGTCATACATCTCTTATTTGAAGGGAGTGGTTGACGTTAATATTTTCTTTCTTCTGAATGGCACATGTGAATTGTTCCTAAGCAGTTACGCCACAGTGTAAGCTTACATTGAAGTTTCTATTCAGCTTCTAACAACCTTCAGGTTATTCTGAGGTAAACGTATTTGCAGTGACAAAAGTGGCTTTGTGCAGAAATATAAGGCTGAATGTAAAGAAATTTTTAAATTTTCTAAATGGAAATGTTTTCGAAGCATAAATTGCGTGATAAAAATCTCCATTTTTTGCTAAGTGCTGAGGTTCTAATAGTCTGCAAAGTCAGAGCCGAGAGTCCCATTCAAACCTCTGTTCTCCGGGTGTCAGCTCAATTACTGACTGCGTCTCGCTAGGCAAAGCTTAGTGTTCTTTTTCTGTCCGTGAAAAATTGTTGTGTTTTGAGTTGTATCCTCTTTTTGCAGCATTTTTGAAGCATAAACAAGTGCAGATTTAAATAAAAGCAAAATTCTAAGAGAAATAATGTCGACCACCAAAAACACTTGGACCACAAAAAAAATGTATCTGGAAGGAACTTTTTTCCCTTTAATATTTTACTGAAAGGCAATAAAAAGATAAAAATGTTAAATAATTGGATCCCGACGGTGCTGTATGTAATTTTGAAACAGATATACAGTGCCTGGAAAGGTTGTGAAATTATGTTTACTAATAATTATTCTAAATCATAAGTTTTAGGAAGATAATAGGCATAATAACGGTAGATAACCTATAACTTGTAACAGTGTTCTTTACCAGTAGACTATCTTGTAAATCTGTCCTTGTGATGAACAGCAGCACTTACTCAGACTAAAAATAATAGCAGGACGGTGTATCTTGGATCCCAGGAGACTATTGGTGTTTTTGTAGACAGCAGACAGGAGAAAAAGGCATTTTGTCCTTTTTACCCCAAGTAATCCCACTGGAAAATTAAACATGTGCTATGAATTGATATCAACTTGTACCAGGTTACCTCCCTAAAGAGGGCTGCTGCAAACACTGTTGCTACGTTTCTTGGACAGCAGTTCGATGGCCTGTGTGCATGATGGATATTTTATGCTGTATGCTACTGTGGAACAGTGTGCTACTGTCTGCCCCTCGGAGACCGCTGGTGAGGTGTGCCGCAAATAACTGGGAACAGCAATTGCTTTAACCCTACAGAGAATGTCAAATACTTGCAAATTAAAAATATTACTGAAATATTTCTGTATGCGTCTGTGTCTGGGAAAACTGTGTTGGTTTTGTTTTTTAAGGTTTGATCCTAAAACCAGAGCAGTTCCTTTTGTCTTGCTGTGGATTCCTACTGAACACGGGATAAAAAAAAAAAAAGATTAAGAAATATATTAGCAAGAAATATTTAGAGAAACCGCGAACCATTTTTTAATGGACCACCCTATCCCATTTCTGTTCTTTTAAGGAAGTTTTTCCTATTCATGACTCATTTCACTCTTTGGCTAACATGAAGGGAAATGGAATAACGATTAAGCAAAGGAATGTATGTTTTTTTCTGGTTTTGTCCTTTTTTCAAAACCTTTATGAATTTTCTGCATAACCTTGTGTAAATATATATGGATGTAGAAACTTGACAACTGACAAGGTAAAAAGTACACTGCTAATATTTGCTTCTTAGTAATTTAAAAAAAATGTTCCTTTTCGTTCTGCAAGTTAATGTTACGCTGGATACTCCAGACTCCCTATTCAGTTAAAATGACATGCTCCAGGCAGCCAATTACACAGAGCTGTTAAGTGAAATTAATGAGATCACCCCCAGATTACACTTCGTGTTTTATTTTCATTTTATAGGTCTGTACGAGCTGCTGGCTGCATTGCCAGCCCAGCTGCAGCCACATGTGGACAGCCAGGAAGACCTGACCTTCCTCTGGGATATGTTTGGTGAAAAAAGCCTTCATTCACTGGTGAAGGTAAACCCCATTTAAATCAGATTCTCTTTGAGAAGAGCATATGGAAAAATGTTTTGAGCGCCATCTAGTAAACCAGTGATCAAACTGTTACTCAGTGAAAACAAAACAGCCTTGTTTTACATCTGTTTCTGTCAGGGGTGGAAGTTGTTAAATAATATTCTACCAAAAATACATAGATGATTTCATTTAAGAGTGATGTTTTGGCAGTGTAATGCTAATGCAGCAAACATATGTTGTTTGCCCTTGTTTAGAAAAAAGAGTACGAAATAGTAGCAGGAAATCTGAGACTTCTTTATGGTCAACATTCAAGACCTGGAGTTTAGCTTAAATAAATAAATGTTCACAGCAAAAATTAGAAGGAATATATTTTCTGAGGTCAAGTATGGCAACAGTTCAGTAGCCACATTAATTTAAAATGATTTCCTTTAACAAAGTCAACTGAAATTCTAGTAAGCTGTTTCTTTTGTTGGCTTGCCTCCATTTAAAATTGTGTTTTGCACATAAATATGTTGGACTAAAGTATGACCTAAAATAAGTTTGGAAGAATACTTGAGTGAAGTGTCCTGCTATGAAAATGATCAGCAACAAGAAATCGGAGCATGCCATGGGAGTAAGCAGAGCCACCCTGGAAATGATAAAATTGCTTATAGCAGGAAAATGGGGCAAATCAGCTGGTTAGAAATGTTCTTCTCCTTCAAAATGGTAAGTATGTCTTCAGTCTCCAGTACAGAGCTAAATCAAGCTGCAAGGAAATTCTGAGGTCTCAAATGAGTCAGTAGGTGGTAGCAACCCATGCTGTGAATATATCCACGCTTGCACATAAGTGAGCAGAATTTGTTACCCTTGTCAGGCACTGATCTAGAGAAAGCTTGAAATTGGGATTGTTTCGATGTAGGTTTGAAAGAGTCACCTTTTTCTGTTTCCTTCAGCTATCTTATTCTGGAAAAAAGATGTAATAATGATACTCTGCCAAAATTGTTTTCAAAATAGCTGAGAATTTATATGTAAAATTAAGCACAAGTACTCCCTGGTAGTTGATACACAAAAGCAACAAACAGGAACAGTGTTTGGCAATATTTGCTTGCCTAAAGAATTTCATCAGAGTTTCTGAAATGCAGTGATTTCCAGACTCCCTGCTGCTTTGCCGCAGCTGTCTGCTCAGGTGGCTCAGAAGATGACTGCGAGGGGAACACTGATTGTCCTTCTACTGTAGGCTGACAGTGGTGTGCATCTAAGCAAAATGTTACGTCAGTTGCTAAATTAGTTTTCTTTTAGGATTGGGTATTAAAGAAGGTGGGTTAGAAAAGTGGTGTGGGTCTGTGAAACATGGACATTACAGCATTTCCTCTGATTTTCTATTGAGGCAAAACCGAAACCTTTTTAAACTTTGTCACTTGCTCCCTTTTGCCTCTTCCCCCAAAAGAAAACAAAGTAACAGCACGTCAGTAACTAGTTTTACTTTCCTTGAGTATACTCTCAGTTGGGTTAAGTTGGCTCTCCTGCTGGCTCACCTACTTGCATGCCCTAGTTACCGTGTTGTTTGTTATTGCAGGGTGCAATGGTCTTTCTGATTTTAACGAACAAGAATTAATGAGAAAGGGTTCTTGAGGCAGGTAGAAAGTTTTGGGGATTACTGAATGGTCACTTTACAACAAGAAGGCATTGAAGTATTCCAACCATCTTTATCTTGTCACTTTTAGGTCCATGTATTAAATGTGTGTGTAACTGACCCTGTGAACGGTTCTTTTAATGTCCTGTTAAGTGTCATGGTATCTTAAAATAGACTTAATTCATCAGACTGTGTCTTTAGTGCTCACTAGCTGCACTTCTTTAATACACCATACTAATTTCCTTCAAAAGACAAAGTTTTTTCGTTATTAGAATTGAGACTACTAAGATCATCTGGTCTGACCCAATGCATATGACTGGCTATTGACCCTCACCTTTTGATTTCTGTGGTGTTCAGTTATAGAAAGTAGGGCATGAAGAGCTTTCAAAAGGTTAGCCATTTCATATCCCTACCCCAAGATGGGCTTAACTGTGTTTGAAACTCATGGTATTTGCTTGACCTTTAACACAATTTTTAGAAAGGTTATTCAGTATCCTATCAAGTTTCAGAGAAGGCAGTTCATAGCCTTTTTGGAAGAGAGCAGTAAGAGCAAAGAAAGAACTCCATCTGCTGTGGTTTTTCCCTCTTACAAGGCTTCAGAAGTGCCTTCTTACTGAGTTCTGATGTCTTATTTGAAAGATGTTTTTTCTAGCAAGAGCTTCTTGAAGTCAGCTGTACTTGCAAAGACAAATGTTTTTAATTCCGCAGGCAGAGAATGATGACAGATATTTTGTAATAAAAAAAAAAAGCACTAGCTTAGAGCCAAGGTTGTTGCTGTCCTGGTATGCGTCGGTTGTGGAAGAAAGTGAGCATGGGTATACTACTAATTAGGCACTAGATTTCTCTACTTAAGATAGACACACTGCTTAAAAAGAATTTCTGCGCTGATCTTCTTACCTTACTGTTTAATAATTTCAAATATTAGGAAAAAAGCTCTTTTCTACGTTGTAAAATGGACAAAATGCTCCAAATTTCTTGAAAGGATTAAGCATAAAATGAACTTTCTACTTTTCCTACAGATATGCTAAGTTTTCTACGTATTTCATTATCATAGTGTTTTCTTTATGGTTGTATACTATGACATATGATTCGCTATTCTGGTTGTCTTAATATTGAAAAGAAAGAAAAAAGAAAAAAAAAAGCGCCAGACTGTGTCTTGCAGTTCTCTTCATTCAATATTGTTGGACAGAAATCTCTTTGTGAACTTGGATCAGCCTGAGCTGTTCTAAGAAGTCAGAAATGGAAAAGTTGTATTAGATCATCCAGTCCATTCCCCTGCAAATACTGGATTGTTCCCTACAGTACATTCCTATTGTAGTAAGTAAAACCAGCAAAAACTGATGCAACTATTCTTGCTGTCCTTTTTCTCAGTAAAGGAATCTGTTGATCAGATTTTAGTTTGCAAAGTATAGAGAAGAGGGAACCCACAACCGTTGTTGACAGTTTGGAAGAGAAAACTGGCTCTGGGTATTGAATGTTTAAAATTTGTCTCTGCTTCCCTCAATTTGTTACTTCCTTGTCTTATTACATGACTCTCTTAAGTTCTACCAAATACCTTCAACAGTCTCATTACTTTTTATACAGCAGAGATCCCAGTAATTCTGTAGAGATTTATAGAAAAGAAACATGAAGAGATGATCCTTCAGGGTAATTTTGAGCACTGACATAGCTGAAACCTGAAATAGTATGCATGGTCTGCTTGGATTTTTTTTTTTTTAGAGGAACAGAAGGGATAAATAAAGATCTGTTCTAACTACTCTTCTAGCTTCTATTTGGAGGATCTGCAAGAATTTCCATGTGCGTTTTCTTGCTGTTAGTGCACCAGACACATTTTGCTGTTTGTCTGTTCAGGTCTAGGGTGAAGCTTCTACTTACACTGTTGTCTTAAACATTTCAGGTTGTAGATATAATGCTCAAGAACTAAGTAAGCTTATCTGCTGGGTTGCTACCAAAGTATTTCTTAACCAATTGTATTTTACTGATTGGTTTTGGCCTGCTCAGAGCATTCACAGTTCTTTAGCCAGTACTGTACTTTGCATTATGAAAAAAGCCACAGCAAGTGGTGTTGCTGTTCCTCTTGATAGGGAAGAGTTTGTACATGCAAAAGGCAGTATGTGGCACTGGGAAATAATGTAACTACTGCAAAAGCAATGAATATTTGGTGAATCTAGTCTAATGCTTTTATACCTGCATAGTGTTTTGGCAGCTGGCCCTGCAAGATCTTAATGTGTGCTAATTTTCTGTTAGTTTCACCTGGGTATGATTTGGCTTGACCTTCTGAGAAATTATTTTCTGTGTGCTAGTGTTTGTCCACGTCAATGGCTAACAACTTTTTCTAACTAATTTAATCTCCAAAAATAAAATAACTGAGTGTATCCTGGTGTAATTTCTTTGGCATGCAAATTGCATTGTATGATTACACAGTCCAAATTTTACAGTCATTGTGTATAGAAATACTGTATATTTTTGGTGTGAAGACTCATATTTTTCAATATGTAAATATAGATGCTTTCAGCCTACTGTAGTTACTTTGCTGGAAATGAGAAAAATAAAGAGAACATTAAAAAAAAAATGAACTGACTAGGGCAAAGCAAAAAGGATTGATTTGACACATGCTTACAGTGATAAAGTTAACAATCTGCAGACCATGTGCTAAACCTTCAGTCTGGACTGGTACAAGCCTACTTCATAGGCAAGTTGTGTATACACTCTTTTAGTTTTTACCCAGAGCTTTACACACAAACTCTGAAAAAAAGTGATGTTAACCTGTAAGATGAGCAACTTTGCATGTACAGTACAGAATCAGAGAATCTCAATAAGGTCTCATGGACTGTTTTATGTTAGAGGATAGACTAACTCATAGCTGTCCAACCTTTCACCTGGGAAGAGCTATGCACTTTCTTCTGGAACTCATGGAGGGGTTGTATGGTGCAGCTTCCCCTACCCTGCCATGTGTCAGATGTTCTGCAGGCAACATCCAGGTGTGTGCTGCACAGATTGTGTGCATTCACCTCCCGCGTCGTGCATCCAAATAATGAATGCTCCTGCCTGGGCACATGCTCAGGCATCCATACATTTGGATCTTCTTCCCAAAAGAACGTAGAGGAAGCGGGCTTCAGGTTATATGAGAAGTTCTGATGAGTCATGTGTGATAACTGATTGTTCTGAACTCATTGTTCTGAACTATTGATGGGGATGACCCACAGATGGAGGGGATGATGTCTGTGTATGTGTCAAAGGACTGGAAGGGTGATGGTGGCTGAGGAGGATGTATTAGATAGTGCAAGACCTGAGCATGACACAAATGACATGGAATGAAGGTTGGAGATTGTACTGAGATGTAGTTGGCTTTCTTCATGGCATCCCAAGGATGTTAGTGTTTACTGCTTCT